TCACATTTGAACAGCTCTGAAGTTGGGCTGGGTCCCACAATTGATGTGTCCTCGTTCACTTGGCAGCTTTTTGTCTTTCTTAGTGGCCCTTAAAACCAGGGGCATCTCAGCTCTGATGAAGTAGGGTAGTCACCCATGGCCTTGGTCCAGTAACTGCAGGCTACAGAGTTGGAGACTCAGGTGGAAAGGTTGACCTGTTGTCAAACTGTTACCTTCTACTGTCATTCAGTTCTTTCCCTTTGAAAATGCTTATGTTTCGGAGGAATATGAGGGAGGGGATTGGCAAAAGTCTGAAAACAACAGGTACACAAATGAAAAATGTGTTCCTTTGTGGGCTCGAGAGGAAGGAAACATCTCTGGTGGATGTGTCTCCTTTCCAGGTAAAATTGGCATGCCACATAACTGCTGGTAGATCAGTACCTTTTGAGTGAAACGTGCTTTGTGGCAGCCAGACTTAGCTGCCCACTGAGCAGGCACCCCTGGCCCATAAGACTGGCATGACTAGCCAGTCTGAACACACCAGTTAGGCAAGTGAGGCCCAGGCTCTACCGTCCGCAGGAGTCTTGGTAAGCCCGGGTCAGTCCCATGGCAGAAACCTCCTGTGGCTGTATGCTCCTCCACGGCAGAGATCGTATCTTTCTCACCGGTGTCCCGGTGCTCAACATAGTGCCTGACATATGAGAGATGCTAAATGGGGGTTTGCTAAGCAGAGCTGTGTTGAACGGGTTGGGCAAATGGTCTTCTTGTTGCCCAAGTCAAAGGCTTCATTTTGTAGGAATCATATTCTGGGTGAGGGTTTCATTTCTGGTCCTCAGTCCTCTGTGCCATGGCTTGGTGAGCAATTGGTTTTGTGAGCTGACCTTGAGACCTTATTTCTCTCCATGCCCATTCTTCTCATTTCTAATGCTTGTCTTGCAAGATAATCTTGTGGGACTTATTTCGCTTATAAATTGGAACCCACTTGCATGTCAGCCCATTTAGTGACTTTACACCCAGAGAGCCTCACTCTTAGTTAAGCTGCAGGGTATGAGAATCCCAGCTGGCACATCAAGTTATCTATGCAATGTGTGGTGTTTAAACAGGTGAGCATGTCCCCCGTCTGGGGAAGGCTAGAAAACTGAGTAAGAATCTCCTGGAAACACAAGTCCAGAGTTCACCTTTTGCTTTGTCTCTGGAGAAAACATGGGCTTGACCCCGGGGCCCTCAGGCTCTATTGGACATGACCCCTGTTCTCCCTCCCCAGCCCTGGGTAACC